TACTAGTTGAATGCCCGTCCATTACAACCGAACAAAAAACTTAGACACGGAGATATTGATACCAAATATTATTGTAATTGGTAATGCTTTCAAATCCCAGACAAAATCAGCTGTGAACACTTATGCATATCAATAAAAAAACGTGTGCATATAGAATTTTGCATTTGTCCTTAGATCTTAGATAATAAACAATGTCTGTTCATTTGCACATACATACATGCATACATACATGGCTAATCAACTATAGTGTTTATATTCTGGTTGCAACGCACGGGCAATCATCTATACTATATATATATACTACTTAAAAAGATAGTGTTTATTTTCGTCAACTGATTCTCCGCCCTGCCATTACGTCCCTTCATTGATTTTTTTCGTCCAATTATTTTTTTTAGTCTCACCACACCCTTTTCTCAAACCTTCTTCATACGCTAATCAGTCACCTTAACTTACTTACCTTCTGCACAGCCGCACCAATTATCATCTTAAATTTACTTACCAAACATTTATTTGCACAATCACAGGCATGATTTGATAAACATTTATTTACACAATTATGGATCAGATTTTATAAGCATTTATTTACACAATCACGGACAGGATTGATAAATATTTATTTACACAATCACATCAATATAGATAGGTAGATCGTGAACTAACATACTAGAATATTTATATCCCTTTCCAAGGCGTGGGCATTGTCCTAGTACTTTTTTAAAAAGTATATCCAGTTTTCTTGACCATGCACGACTTGAGAAATGTTGGCTACGCAACCATTTTCCTTGTACGTCAGCAAGTGTACCAACACCGGATTCTGTAGGTCGTCATCATCCTGCGTGTGCATTGTATATGACTATCATGAAGGACTCATCTAAAAGTACACATGAATGGTGAATGGAGAGTACAACACCGGGACAACCGCTAGTCGCCTTAGTCCATATTCATTACCATGCCACATGCGCATAAACTTTAAACCCAAAAAACAGACATAATTGTGTGTAGAGGTTGAATTGTTAACTATGTGGAACATTAAATGATGGCCAAACAATTGTAATGTTAAGGTTTTAGCTAGTTTGGGTTTCTTGGAACTCCATCTGATATGATTGGACGCCATCTAAAAACATCATCATTCCAGCCAGGTATTATGGCTTGTAAAGCAATGTTAAGGTGGAACAAATTAATTTAGATTTTTAATACGTCCTTCTAGAATGGATTTTCTCCCACACATTCGGTAAGGGAAGATGATTGAGTATAGTGATTGTTCTCTCAAGTAGGTCGAACACGAAGAGAATGAAGCGGTCAGTCGTGCAATATGGGAACAAAATCTATACCAAGTAGGATTTAGAAATACGAAAACAAATGACATAAAAGGACATGGGAATCATTCTTACCAACTTCCAAGCTGAGACACTACAACACATCCTAGGCTAACAATGAAACAATTTTGCAATTATGTAGTGCTGGACATAAAATGCTAAACGGAGTTTTGGATCTCAGATGGAGTCATCTAGTATCATCTGAGAGAGAAGTTAAACATTATTAGAATTTACGATAGCAATGACATGTGGTTGTCGCCTTCTGAAGTATAAGTAAAAATTACAAGTAAAGTAAGTGTTGTGAAATTGTAACAACTTATAGAAAAGTGTTATCCATATAGTGATATAGAGTGTCTTTGACAAACTGAAGCCCGTCTGTACCATTTAATCCGCCATGCTAAAAATGTTAATATCCATAGCGGTGAATCTATAGCCCGTGTGTTCTTTCACCAAAGACTCTATGTATCACTATATGAACCTTATGTTTTCTATAAGTTATTACAATCTCATAACAACTGTTTTACTTGTAATTTTTTTAATTATATCTCATAAGGTGGCAACCACATGTCATTACTACCAAAGATGTTAATGATGTTTTACTTCCCTATAAGATGATATTGAATGACTCCATGCAAGACCCGAAACTCCGTTTAGCATTTGATGTTCAACACTACATCATTGCAGAACTTCTTAGTTGTTAGCCTGAGATGTGCTTTAACATCACAGGGTGCAAGTTGGTAAGAATGCTTCTTATGTTCGTTTATGCCATTCGTTTTTTTGTATTTCCAAAGCCTACTTGGTGAAAATTTTGTTGCCATACTGTACGGTCGACCCCTTCACTCTCTTCATTGTTTATCTACTTGATAGAACAATCACTACATTCGATCCTCTTCCCTTGTCGAATGTTTGGGAAAAAATCCATTCCAGAAGGACGTATTAAAAATTAGAAGTATTTTGTACCACCTGGAAATTGCTTTACAAGCCGCAATTCTCGGCTGGAATGATGATTTTTTTAGATGGTGTCCCATCATACAAGGTGGAGTTCCAAAAACCCAAACAAATTACAATTACAATTCTGTGGCCACCCTTTCATGTTCCACATTGCCAACAATTCGTACCCCTATACAGCAATTTTGTTTGTATTTTTGGTTTAAATGCTTATGCGATGTGGCATGATAACGAGCACGGACTACCAGTTATCCTGGTGTGTACGTTCATATTCATGTGTACTTTTAGATACGAGCCCTCCATGATGGTCAAATATAATGCATGTGTAAGATGATTACGACCTACGAAATTAGGTGTCGGTACATTTGCTAACGAATGTGTAGCCAACATTCCACAAGTTCTGCATGGTTTGGTCAAAAGAACCAGTTTAGACTTCCTTTAAATATCTTTCGAACATAGTCGGTTCACTCTTGATTGATAACCAATATGTTCACTAGATTTTTAGTCCAAGTAATACTTTTTGTATTACAACATTGTTAAACATCTCTATCGCCCCTCTTATGTTAGTAAATTATATTATTTTTTTCATTTGATTGATATTGCCTTTCTAAACTTGAATGATGATTTTTTTCCCAGATGATAATACGTGTGTTGCGAAGTTGGATCTTGTCGGTTGACGTTGTGTCATACCAGAGCCCATCATTCACTGTAGTTATACCTGACGAAGCACCCAAATTTAGAACCTATGATGGTATCATTACAGTTATATACAAGGTAATGGTTTTATTTAGTACCTATATTTGTTGTCTTTTCAGTTTGCTATGCCTCAAGGGTGAAGAAAATAGCTACAAAGTTACCTTCAATGAGATTGTCAACTTGTTTGATGAGCTTTGTAGCCATAGAGCCAAATTTAAATACGATATAAATGTAATTTTGCTTCTTTATTGCAATATCGCATATGGGACGCACATTTTTGGGACATATTGTTCTAGGCGCACTACTAAAGCATTCTAACCTCTAAAAACTTTTTAAAAAAATCAAAAAATTCTGGAACATTTTTGTGGTGAGCATGGTCGAGTGTTCTACTCGTATGAAGTTTGCTCGGAGAAATGACTTTTGTGTTCCTGTGTGAGAAAATAAACAAAATTATAACTTCAAAATACTTGAATAGTAAGTTGTACATAGAACCCTTTTTTTTGGCACAGAAAACCAGGTAAGTCATTTCTTCGCGAAACTTTATATGTGAGTATAACACTAGACCATGTTTATTCGAAAATAGTTTCAGAATTGTTTAACTTTTTTTATTAACTTTTAAGGCGTCCTTTCGTTCATATGATAGAAATATAATGAGAATTGAAAAAACATAGAAAGTGAGATGACACGCATGTCAAATCCTATAGAAAAAGAGATGACATTTGATTCATAGGATAGGAAATTTTTCACTGGGTCTAGGCTAATATTTTTTTTCTTTGAAACATGAAGATTGGTTACTCTCCTACGTAGGAATAGGAACCTATCCCTACAAACCAAATTACTTCAAAAAAATTCTTATTTCTTCAAAACTCCTCTTATTTCTTCAAAACTCCTGTAAACGGCCTAGATATTTTATCAATGTGGGTGTGCTTAGACCGAGGATCCGACGGGTAATTCCTGATTATGTATTTGTTGGCCATATTGAGACTTCATATATAACATGATGTCACCTCTCTCGTGCGCATATTATCTTCTTCACCCTGGCATAATAGCAAAAACTCATCACACCGACACTCTTCTACTTGCAATTCTATTCAGTAACCCAGAATTATGTGTGTACATGAACGTAGTAGTTCCTTCCCTCATAGAAAATTACGCACACAATTCCGATCCACAAAGTTTAATGTTGAATGTGTGCAATTTCACTTGTATGTTATACTCCATCCATATATATATGGCCTAATCCGTTTTTTGAGAATGCCCTTTGACTATTGATAAGATTAATAATAGGATATGAAATGTATAATGTGAAAATTATATCATTAGAAGCTCCTTTCACGTATGAATTTGACGGTATGCTTTGTGTAACTTGCATGTTATATATTATTGCTCTAACATGTGATCAAAGTTAGTCTCGAAAAACGTATTAGGTTAGTCTCAAAAAACGCACCAGACCATATATGGATAGAGGGAGTATATGAAATGGGACATTTACGATGATGATTTAGATGTTGATCTAACGATTTATGAAGGCCCCTAAGATTTAATAAAATCTCAGGCAACTTGGGAATAAACAATCCCTACGAAAGTATGTAGCACGGATTATTGCAGAATTATTGAAACAACATAAACATGTCGTCATGGTCGCCAGTTCACAAGACTCTGACACATCTAAATTATGAAACTACAACAGTCAAGCTCATCATCATCATTCACACAGGAAACGTTTCCGTTTCCTGCAGGGAACAAGTTAAATCACACACAAGGGCTACTTTGACAAGAGCAAATGACAGTACAATTCCTGATTTCCTTCTCGCCGATACCTAGATTGCAGGAAACGCTCCCGAGATACAGCAGCAAACATAATTTTAATCCTACAGTTAAATAGCCTAGCTCATCTCATGCACTGTACAACGCCACGTTTTTTTTCTGCACCAGCAATGGAGGGCTGACGCCATAAACAGTGCATCTCCTCACCGGGGATGGTTTTTGTTGAAGCGATTACTTCTTCCGCCTTTTCGGCTCAACCTGCAGTTGATGGGCCAAAATTAAAGAGGGATAGAAAAGAATGTGCTGAATAAGTTATATCTTTTACTCAACAAAAGCTATATCTTATATTAAGCTCATCTTCACCATGAAATACATGAACTGAGATCATGCTAATGGGTGACAATAGCTGTGCTAACAAAGAAGATCCTAATCACTGCTGATAGCAGCTTAGCGCATTCAGTTATTCCAAGATAATATCAGAATGTCACTTTAAGGTCCTAACTTGTTTTGCTAACCAAAGAACAATTATTCTTACCATAACAGCCTATGTAAGATTGCCAGCATATGTAAGGCTGCTTGGCAAGGGACTAACTAATGTTCTGCAAACACAATATAATAAGGTTCTTGACAAAGTACTATACACATGCATGGACTCAAAGAACTCATGACAGCAAATTTTAACTATACATGTCAAACACCAAACATTTTCCTAGGAATATTGAAGGAACAAAGGCAAGAACCACCAACTTTTGGAAATTAAATTCAATAAGATAAAGGCATAAAGCTAGCTACAAGCAGAAAATTAATAAACAATACTGTCAAGAAAAAGGAACAAAAAATCACTGACCTTAGAATCAGAACTTGGTGAACTCGGGTATGAATTTGAAGGTCTCTTTGCACCATTTTCTTTAGCACAATCCGCGCACAGGAAAGTATCTAACTTTTTGGCCTGCTCAATGGTCATTCCCATACAGGTTGGATGGAACCTGCACAGGTTCAAAGGTACATACTGAATAAACATGTGAATAAAGAAGGTCAACAGTAGCAGAAATGAAGCAGCACAGTACTAAATACTCCCTCCATTTGAACTAAAACCACGACACTTATTATGGAGCGGAGGGAGTAGCAATTTGTTGCTGAATGTTCTGTATGCAAATATAAAGGGCACGTGCCATGCCTATATATAGAAAGTAGGAAAGAAGTGTTAAGAGACATTTAACATGATTGGTGGTCAGATAAGAGAGAACTGCAATGCGAAACTAGTTGTAGCAAATACTCTTATAGGAGGCAAGGAATTATTAATCCAAAACAGGCAACCTTTAAGTCAGAAACTAGAAGGAAAGGACAAACATATGTTCTGTTCTTTGCATCTTTTTCTGAAGTAATAAACAACAAACATCTCTTTTGTGTTGCATCTTTATAGATTAATAAATATGCAACACTGTGTTCCTTAAGATGATACTCTGTACTTCTGTAGGTAAGGTGCTCCTTGCAACAAATATAAGGATGAGATACAATGCTTTAACCGCAGATATAATCATTTTTAGGATTGAAAATAAGGATAGCTCTAAAAATCAAAACAAATGAATGCTGTGCTTGTGTGAAATACTGATTTCCAAACTCTGACATGGTATGTCCAAAACACTTACATATTTATGTAGTTCAAACATCTTTCGAAGTTGGAAAAAGGTCAAAGTATGCAAATTTATAAACACCAAAGAAACATCCAATATGCACTTCCCAAGTATTCCACAGGGAGGTGGCAATGGCATCACCGTATCAGAGCCAGCTCAATGCTTTCAAGGCAGCTATTTCTCAAACAACCAAGCAAAAGCACAATGCACATGCTGAAACAGAGCATGAGACACAGAACAAAGAGCTTGCTGAATTTTCTAAGAGAGACGGCCCTTTCACAGACATGAGACAAAACTGTTCTTTGGAATCATATATCTTATGAAAACTATGAATGTGACATCAGTGTAAACTACATATCTTTGAGAACTGCAAAGCATAAGAATGTGGAGCATCAGGCTGTAAGAAACCTTAGAAGTTCATCAATTGCACTTGACTATCTTCAGTCCTAACCAAAAGATGTCATACCACAATTTAACTAGGCTTCCCAATGAAAATACCCGAACGCAAGGTAAACTAATTTGTGATGCACGGCAAAAAAAAAAGATATAAGCTGGATAAGCTGAATGCAGCATGTGAATGCAAGGCAGCTAGTTGCTGATGCTATCTCTTGGCCATATAACCACCAAACCGACAACACCAGCTGGGTAAACTCTGATAAGAAGAATTCATTTTTCTCAGAGATTTACCAGTCTTTGCATCCCTCGCATTGCACCATGAGGTCATCTGGGTTGTACGGCATCTCGCACTTGCAGTACCTAAACACAAAAATCCCAAATGAGACCACCATACGACAGCCAGCCCCACAATGCATTGCAAATCGGGCGACAGCTAGCAGAAGGCAGGGCACGCAGCACATACACGGCCACACGGTCGGGGGTGAACGCTCCGGTGGCCGCCTTGTACTCGAATCGGCAGAAGAAGTCTTCCGGGCCGACGTTGTCGAGCTTGGTGTAGTTCTTGAAGGAGTGGACGATGCACTTGCCCTCGATGGTGTGTGCGCTCTGCGTGTCGAAGTGGTCGGAGAGGAAGAGCTCTTTGGCCCCGTGGAACTGCCGGCGGCCGCCCTTGGACTCCTCCGGCCGGTAGTACCAGCGGACCCGCACCCGCACGCTCCCCCGACCGTCCGACTCCAGGCTCTCCACCCGGGCCACGTAGGGCGCGTTGTCCGTGTCCGACGGCCGCATCAGCACGCAGTCCCCGACTTCGCATCAGGAAAGCAGGGTCATCAAACAAAGACCAAATCTTGGCGGAAATGGCGATGCAGCAGCATCAAGGAGAGCACGTACCTCGGACGACCTTGGTGGTGCCCCTGATGGTGTAGGAGTCGATGTCCCTCTTGCCCTGCTTGGTCTTGGCCATGGAGGTCGGGGTTGGATCGGGAGGAAACCCTAGGAAGCTGAGCTGGGGGAAGGACGGGAAGGGGGGAGGGGTGTGGTTGGCCACAGCTCCGTTCCGCCCAGGGAGGAGGAGAGACCGGGGAGGGGAGGGGTAGTCTCGGGATTTCGTGGGGGAGCAGTGAAAAACTGAAAATGTGAAATGGAGGTTTGAATCCAAGTGGCGTCCTGGCATCGTCCGCCGTCCGATGGGAGCAGGTTTGGCGTCTTCTCCGCCATTTGGACGGTGAATTTTGCCTTTCCCATTTCTCAAAACTATAGACAGAGGCAAAGAGCACCCGCGAAACACGGTCTATTTTTCTCGCCCTGGTTCTAGTCACACCGTGTGTCGCGCTTAGTCCACGCCGCGCGTGACCCTTACGTGGGGTTCGTGGGTGACCAGTAGGGACAATAGCACAAAATGTAGGTTGATTTTATGGCAATGATGATTTAATTATACTCTTATTAGGGCATCTCCAACGGCGACCTGTAAATTTTTTCCCGCATCTGTCCGCAGACAGGGGCACCAGTCGGCAGACATGGATGCCGGAGCCGGCCATCCAACGCTGCATGCATACATTTCAATTGCTTTTTCAACAGCCGGATGGAATTCATGCAAGCACGACGGATTTTATACAAACCGGACGAAAAACATTTACATTTTAGACATATTTTAATTGAAAAAGGTAAAACTATGTGCACCGTGCGGAACTCCATTCCCACGACACGAATACACTACAGTAGTCTACGGCCTGCCGCGGCGGATTCATTTGTTTT